TAAGTTTTTTTAAAGTGTCTCACATTCAAACGACGATGTGGCGCCTCCCTAAGATGCCCCCCCCCCCCTCCACGCACAGCAGGGTCAGTGGGGCCCTACATTACGCCACTGGAAGTACCTATATCTGTGAATGCACTAGCGGCAACCTGAAAGATCTCACTGACATCTAGTCTTGCACTATCTTGGGGGGGGGGGCCAAGTGGATATTTGTAGATATTTGGATAATGTCATCCACTTTTTTTGTGAATTATCCATTACAATAATCTACAAATATCTACATTTATCTACAAAAAATGTATATCTCAAATATGTGCCCAGAAATTCTACTGAATTTTTTGAGAGAAATGTATAAATTTGTAGAATTTGTAGAATTTTCGTGAATTATCCATTGACAATAATCTACAAATATCTACATTTATCTACAAAAAATGTAATCTCAAATATGTGCCCAGAAATTCTACTGAATTTTTGGAGATAAATGTATAAATTTGTAGAATGTCATCCACTTTTTTCGTGGATTATCCATTCTACATTAATCTACAAATATCTACAAATATCCACTTGGCCCCCCCCCCCCCCCCTATCTTGTCTATTAGTGCAGTTTGATCGACTTAAACGTTCGGTCGATGACAAAAAGCTGTAGGGGGCAGAAAAAAAATCATGGCCTGACTTTGTTTTAGGACATTAGGTAAGTTTCGTCACTGCATAGCTATAGAGTAGCTGTGGCTCTGTTACAATGTCTCTCCTCACAAGTTTAGAAGGGAAAGTACGTGATGAGAATACAGTATCAATTACGTGCCTTCGCTATGAATAGTCAGTTTCAGATGAAATGGAATGTGAGGTATCTTCCTCACTTCAATGTGGAATGTGAGGTGTCTCCTTCACTTCAATCTGGAATGTGAGGTGTCTCGGGTCTCCTTCACTTTAATGTGGAATATGAGGTGTCTCCCTCACTTTAATGTAGAGTTTGAGGTGTCTCCTTCACTTTGCTGTGAAATGTGAGGTGTCTCCCTCACTCAAATGTAGAATTTGAGGTGTCTCCCTCACATTAATCAGTGGCGTAACAAAGGGCCCCGCTGGGGGGGGGGGGGGGGGGGGGCGCCGTCTTAGGGGGGCGCCAAATCGCCGTTTGAATGTGGGACAATTTCGAAAACTTAACTAAAGTACTAGCAAAACTGCGCGTTTTGCTCTAGATACACACTTTTTAGATATTTTACCGGCGTATCCTATAAAATCACATAATTTGTTAAATTTTAGGGAGGGGCATCAATGGGGGAGGGGGGCCATGGCCGGCCAACAGGGGGGCGCTTTTTTGGCGGAGGGGCGCCAACAGGCAAAGTTACGCCACTGACTTTAATGTGGAATTTGAGGTGTCTCCTTCACTTTGCTGTGGAATGTGAGGTGTCTCTGTCACTATAATATGGAATGTGAGGTGTCTCCTTCACTTCAATGTGGAATGTGAGGTGTCTCCTTTACTTTGCTGTGGAATGTAAGGTGTCTCCCTCACTTTAATGTGGAATTTGAGGTGTCTCCTTCCTTTTGCTGTGAAATGTGAGCTGTTTCCCTCACTTTAATGTGGAATTTGAGGTGTCCTCTTCACATCAATGTGGAATGTGAGGTGTGTCCTTTACTTTGCTGTGGAATTTGAGGTGTCTTTCTCACTTTAATGTGGAATTTAAGGTGTCTCCTTCCCTTTGCTGTGAAATGTGAGGTGTCTCCTTCACTTTAATGTGGAATTTGAGGTGTATCCTTCCCTTTGCTGTGAAATGTGAGGTGTCTCCCTCACTTTAATGTGGAATGTGAGTCACAATTTGAATTAATCTTAACCAGACAACATTGTTGTTGACACAAAAACAGTTCTATCTGCACAATCAATTTGAAATGAAAAGAAATGAAACGAAATTTCTGCTGTGCTGTAAGATTATTAGCAACTATGAAATCAGCATTACAATCCAGTTAGAAAATCTCGATGGTCTTGAATATCTGGCTGGCACTCTCGTTACTTCTTACCCTTACTCCCCCTCTCCCTTTCCTTCCATTTAACCAACCTTTCAACCTTACCATTGTCATTTAAATGGTCCTTTCAATTTACTTATTTATTAATGACCATTGGGCATAATATGATATGTTTATAATTTGTTTTATATTTTATTTGTACTGCTTTGTTGTGACCTATTAGACACTAGACAATTATATATTACAGCCATTCCTGTCGAAAAATTTACATATCTAATTATAACTGTGTTATTCTATTGTTTCATAATATCTATATTTTAGGCCGAAGTTAATAAGGTTTATTAGTAATTTAATTAAATTCTGGCATTATCCAAGAAGTCCAACTAATTAGAAGCCTTCAACTAGTTCGTGCACCAATCCCCAAACTACTTATGACATGATATGATGGTAAGCAGATCATATGAATGGTATCTTGGATGCAAATAGTTACGACTAGCATTATTTGACATGCTGGTTTATCCTGCTTCGCATACGAACCCAACCCTGGTCCCTGATATGACCATTGACGCCAGACAACAATTTATAATTTCTCCTCAATCTGTCCCATCCAAATGTAAACGACAGGACATGGAGTTCTTTGGAAGATTTTTTTCTGGAAAAAGAAGTCTCAGCATTTTATTATTCTCTCATATGGATGCTGCAGGTCTCTGGTCCATTGATTTCGTCTAGCTGACCGTAGAGTACCATGTCAGAGATTGAAACAGTCGTTGATGATGGTATTAATTTAAAATATTCCACAAACCACTGCTCCCAGTTAGCAATATTGGATGACTGCCGGTTTTTAAAATTTCCTCTTTTGGTATGAAACTTCATCTCTTACGATTCTTGTTTTGTTTGAGAACCATAATTTCTTTTCATGTTGGTGTCACCCTAGTTAGTTTGACACATTACAGAGCGGTTTTCTGAGCTCGGGGATGAGAGGGAGAGAGGATTGAGGAGTGAGTGGGGGGGGGGGGCGGGGTGTAGGCAGTGGGAGGGCATTATCTGATTCTTGAAATCACTTTTGAGTTCTGCTTATTTGATGTCTATGAAATAACCGAATATTTGATAACATACATATTAGGATTGCTGAAACCAGCTGTATAAATATTACTACTCTCGTAATCTAATGATATGTGCTGTGATCTATCATTTTCATCTCTGTGCTCAAATTTTCCCAGCTTCATTATTCTATCGTTTTTATATTATTGATTTATTTATTGCTTCACTTCTTACGTAGCTCCTAATTATTAACATGTATAAAAGTTATAAATTTGTAAACTAAATAATTTTCCCAATGCTCATGACTCCATGCGGACAGATTGTTACCATTTCTTAGATCACACCGTTAGGTAAAACGTACAATACAATATAAATATTTACCATAATGTTCAGTTCTCATCTACTGTTTCTCCTGTTTTTTTCATATCTGACCCAAAACGTATTTGTGTGACAACCAACAGCAAATACCAAAAGGTCAAAACGGACATAAATAACCCCAATAACTACATTTAATTTTACAATGTCACCAATTTAAACTACGTCATAAGATTAGTGTATGCCTTCAGGAGACTGGACTCTGAGAGTCTTTGACACTTTGTCACTATGTGCTCAAAATCATGGCCTTGTGCCAAACGTCACACACACGTTAGTGACAAATTCACAAACTTTATATCACCCCAATTCCACTTTCTAGATTGTACTGCTATGTACACTGATTTAAACTACGTCATACGTTTAGTGTCTGCCTATAGGAGACTAAATGCAGGAACCCTTTGTAACTCTTTGCTTAGGGTTATCAACAGCCTGACTTAGCTCACAACATGCTCTATCTTACTGGCATTGTTAATGAAGAAACTGTAAAATGTAGATTATAGCTAATTAATTAAGTAAATAATTAGTACTATGTTTTTATATGAATAAAGCTGGTTTTGGCCCAGCCACCAATGTCAACTGTCTTCGCTGTTGTCACCGAACTTTTAAACTTGATGTTCAGGAATCTGGATACTAACACTTTAAAACCTTTTGGCTCTCAATGTTCATATTATATCTCGCTTGTTTGGGTCAGTGGTATAAATCATGCAGCTCACTGAATCAAGGCAGTAGGGTAGTAGGGTAGTACGTAGGGTAGTACGTTTCGTGAAAAGTCAGGGTGAGATTTTGTATCTTGTTAATACTGCGGAACTGCGGATTTGATCACTTCTGTCAGCGGATATTGTAAACCTGGAATTTGAAGGTCTTTTGAGCTATTTCACTCGATATCATTTGCAGCTCTGCGACTCAACTTAACAAGGTCAGTGACTCAGTATAAGATGGCGATAATTAGATCTTAAAAATCCAGGCTACCCACGTCCCCCACCCCCAGTGGGCACTATAGTTTGAGTGGTAAAACCAGAGACTATTCTCCCAAATATGTAAAATATCATATAAATTTCACCCCCTGGAGTGTCCTATAGCAGAGGCCCGGTCGTTAAGCCAGTGTCGGGTAATCTATCCAACGATTGCAAATTTTAATCATCGTACACAAACTAGACCATACTAGCCTAGTTACTCGAAAATTAGTTTGATTAAAATATGTATTACGGATTTTTACCTAAACAGTTGGAGTTCGTTCTCTCACAAGATGCCTACGTCAGTATATGAATCTCGAATTCTGAGGAATTGCGTAGAAAGGGAATTTCATTTTTTAATGTCTCTCTACCAAAATTGTTGCCACACGGGACTTTCTGTTGCAATCGTAAACTGTTATTAACGTGCGGCGCGAGAACTGGGTCATAAAAGAATACTTTTCGACCAGCAAAATATCACGTTGGTTTTTAATTAAGCTAAGCGCGCAATTTAAGTTTTTTAGTTTTTCAACGGTTCATTAGGTGACAGTGAAATCTTAATTCGACTTCTTCGATATCACTGATTGTAAGACCTTGATTCCCCATATATTTCATTGAAGTTCAGCCAATTACAATTGACCAGTCAGCTGACTAACTTTTACTGTCTATCATAGGATTATGACCGAGAGGAGTGTGAACGAGATTACCTCTGACACGGACGATGTGTCCTATGAAATAAAACGAGCCCGAATAGGAACATCATCTCCGACAGACGACAAGCCGGCAAATGTGTCCATAGACTCGAATAAAGTTTCGGTTTACAGTAACGGGAACAGCGAGGCTACAGAGAGCACGTGCTGTGAATCAAACAATGTTAGTTCGGACGACTGTAAGGCTGAGTGTAATGGGGGAAGTAATGGTGTAGGTAGTCCTCCTCCACCCCAACCCACCCTTCCTATCGTCAATCCTGTGGTCTGGGTACATGAGCAGATAGAGAATGGTATTAACCCCATGTCCGTTCTGATCAATATCTTGCCGCCAAACGTTGCTCTCCCAGAGGGTCTTAGTGATCTGACTCTGTGGCGGATTGTGATAGAGATATTATCAGACATGCCCAAGAGAACCAAGTTACCCCACATAAACACCCTTCATGACGTCATATCCCTCCTCAAATCCTGTCGGAATATTGTGGTAGTCAGTGGCGCTGGAATCTCTGTCTCTTGTGGTATTCCTGACTTCAGGTCTAAAGATGGTGTTTACGCCCGGTTAGCCGTGGACTACCCAGACCTACCAAATCCACAAGCCATGTTTGATATCCAGTATTTCGCTCTCAACCCTAAACCCTTCTTCAAGTTTGCATCTGAAATCTGGCCCGGCCAGTTCTCGCCCTCTCCCAGCCACCACTTCATAAAGCAGATGGAGGAACGACAGTGTTTGCTCCGGAATTACACTCAGAATATTGACACTCTGGAGAAAGTTTGTGGTATACGGAATGTAGTTCAATGTCACGGTTCATTCGCTACAGCAACGTGTAGAACGTGCGGTAACAAGGTGGACTCTGATACAATCAAGGAGGATATCATGAAACAAATTATTCCTGTCTGTAAGAGGTAAGCTTTAAAAGTACGTCGTACACTTTTGTAAACTGACTTGTAAAAAACATCCTTTTCGGTTTTTTATTATCGTAGAACGAATTATTCTTCCTTGATCGATAATACTAGAAGCAGCCTTCTTCTGATTTTCGGTCTATTTTTAACTTGATAACATGTTTGATGTGCGACATATTTAACATTTTTAATATAATATTCAATTTTAGTTATGCAACTATAACATAATAACACAGCTTGATGAAGTGGATATTTTTTCAGACTGTAATATTAACATAATCGCCACATTAGAAATATCAAGCATAGGCGTTGATGTGATTTTAGTTTGCCAACAATCAGAAAAAATGTACAAAAAGCTGGTGGCGTATTTTAGCAGGTCCAATAATCCATACTCATCAACAAACAAAAAACTTCAGATGTCCAGAACCTACTCCAGCTTCAATAATGAAACCGGATATCGTTTTCTTTGGAGAAGGATTACCGAATGAGTTCCATCACGCCATTGAAGCGGACAGATTGAAAGCCGATTTGGTTATTGTGATGGGTTCCTCGTTGAAGGTGAAACCAGTGGCGCATATTCCTAACCTGGTGCCGCCGGACATTCCACAGGTGATGAGAATTGAGAAGCTACAGCTTTTAAAATCCTTATTTGGGTTATTTTACAGAATTGAATCGGACGGTCATACAATTTCTAATCCCCATAATATCTTCGCATTAATTGTTGCCCACTAACATTTAAATCCTGGGCTGTGGTTGTGGACAGTCTCAAGTTAAAAACCTTTAAACACAACAACTTTCTTCAGATTCTTATCAACAGAGAGCCTCTACCCCATCTAAATTTCGACGTGGAACTGCTTGGCGACTGCGATATCATTGTCAACGAGCTGTGTTCCAGATTAGAGTGGACTCTTCCCAACACACCTACCTCAACTACAGACGACAAAATGGACGGCACGGAGAGGTTTGTCTGCACGCCGCCCGCCCGCTACATCTTCCCTGGCGCTGAAGTGCAGGATGACTGCTCGCAGGTAGACAGTGCATCAGATGAAGGCTCCGAGAGCCAGTCAGTCGTTACAACTGAGGACGAAGAGTCCAACACAGACAATTACGTAGCCCAGATGCGGTATGTCATGGGTTGTGATTCAAGGACATACTCCGAAAACCCGGGCCCTTCACGCATTTCCCAAGAAGTGTCAGAATATGGCAGCGAGCGATGGGAGTGTGAGAGTGTGAGTAATGTGAGCATTGCCGCGCAAATGGGCGACAGTAGGGAGCCCAGCGTGGACAATGTATCAATATGCAGCGAGGTTGAGGACATGGAGAGTAATGTGAGCACAACGCCTCAACCTGCGGACAACATGAGTTGAAATCCTGTCCACACAGTTCGTTCCGTACACGTGCAAAATATACAAAGTGCACGTGTATAGTGTGATCTGTGCATCGTGTGCCCTGTGCCCGTATAATGCACTATAAAGCTCCGACAACACGATTACCAAGAGTTGCTCTAACAACGTCAGTCAGTTTTTTATTGTTCTGTGATGCAATATTTAAGAAAAAATTGTTGTGACCACAGTTTTTGACAGCCAGTATAACAATTGCAAAGGGATTATATAAGACTTGGAGCAGGGTATGAAATATTTAGCTGTGAGTGAGATTTGAGAAGCGTTTGTTTATAAATCCAGTTAAATGTGACTATTTCTGACCCGTTTGTGGACGATTTTTGTGTCCACTGAATTTGGTACGACAGCTTTACAATCGATCGGAAAAATCATACAAGAGCTTTTCAAAATAAACCGAATGATTGAATCTGATTTAATGGTTATCTCACTCAAGCAGGATCGGACTCTCACGAAATCGTGTTGTCAGATCTTAAGATATTTTCATGTTATGTGAGTTTGCTGGACTGTCAACATATTGTCCCATGAGCATACTGGTTCAAAATTTTTGGTTATTTATTTGCAGTTTAATTTCGGTAACTTTTATTTGAATACGCAGGTTGCCACACCGCGATTACCTGATATGAAGGTTTCAGGCTTCAGCTTTATTACATGTTTCTAAGGTGTGGAGTATAAAAACTGACCGTTATTTTCATCAATTTTATTTATATAAAAGTTGAAGTGAATTTTATGTAGTGAATTTCAGCTTCACGCATTTGCATCGAACAGCCTTTAACAAACCTTCCAAAAATCTACTTTGTTTTACCTCCAACCATATTATGACTCAACCTTTCTGCTAAACTTTTTGTGTTAAAGTGTAACGCTGCTATAATTCTAAGCAATAGGATAATCTGTGACCTAAACCTCCCTTGGTAATTTCGTTTTTTGTTCGCGATAAAGAATTGCATTGGTTTCACTCTATTAGATTTGCTGTCCAATCGATCAAGGAAAATACAATTAGCCACTGACCCTGTAAACATGATGAAGTTTATGATAGATCGCTGTTAACCAAATGATCACAACGGAGCAAACATCGGGTAGAGTAGATATTTTCATTTAAATCTTTTGTTAAAACAAACATGGCGTTCCACCTATATACTCTTTAATAGTAATGTGTCTGTCTATTTTACGGCGACCCCTTTTGGTATTTTCCCAGTTTTAGAGTATAAATATGGAAACAAAATTTTGAAATGAATCTATTTTAAGTTTGGTAATATATGAGAGTTAAGTTTAGTGAGTTATCACTTTAATCATTTCTGTACGCTCTTTTGGGTACTGAAAGTGGCAAATTTAGGCATAATGTCTAACATATTACGTTGCAACATGATGTTCACGCTATGAAGTGAGGAACTCTTTATGTATCACGAATTTTAACCAAGTTTAATTTAATTCTGTATTCCCTTTGTTCTTGCGTCCAAATTACAAAATGTCAATTAAGATAATTATCTTCTTATTGGTTTACTGATACTGGGCTTCATTCGAATTGAGCTGAGTATAAGAGTGCCAATGAAGACTAATAGTTACATTTATTGTTTATATCCGATGTGATAATAATCATACTTCATAAAGGTTGTTAAGTACGTGAAAAATACGCTTCAAATGGGTTGTTTGCAGTGGAACCAAGGCATATAACTCAAGATCTGAATATACGATTTTCTTGAAACTTTCCAGATATGGACCATATGTTTATAAATATATAACGGATAATCTGTGCAAGTTTGGGCGAATTTCTAAGCCAAATTTGAGATATCACTTCAAACATCTCCAAATGGTCGGTTTGCAGTGGCACCAGGGCATATACATTATACAGGGTGGCCCAGAAGTAACACTAACTGCCCACACGCAACCCTAATAACTCACGTAATTTGTGTCAAAATTGCAGAATTGCAATCAAACTTAAATTTCCTGAAAGTTTCGTAAAATTTCATTGATTACAGAGGGTGTGCAACGACACTTCCTCTTTATCGTCATAAAGTGAGATATTAATTGCCATATCCAAATCCCCCAAAGTAAAGTCGAACAATTTTTAATTTAACTATATTTTTGACTTATTTGTTCAACAAATAAGTCAAAAATAGAATGAAATTAAAAATTGAATTACTTATCTTGCTTATATTATGTCTATGAGTCCACATATTCAAGATTTACAACGCACCGGGCCACTGGCGTTGCAAGATATTAAGTGTTACGTCACTTTAAACTGTTACACAATTTCGTATCTACATCGAATATCTGTATCGAGCGATTGGAAATTTCTTCGATTACAGACACATTGCAACGTCATGACGCGTCAGTGCGTTTTACATCTTGAATATGTGACTTCGGCATTCAGACTTATAAAAGCAAGATGTTTCATAATTATCAATATCGTTTTATCGTTAGTGGTTTCTGTTTCTGTTTTTATAGCTGAAGCTGAATTAACCTAGCGCAGCTTTCGAACTTAAAAATGTAATTCTATTTTTTACTTATTTGTTCGATTTTGGTTATCTTGAAATTCGCAACATCTTGTCCGTCTCCATGTCATGAATGTCGAACGTACATCATTTTCGGCCCGGCCAAAAGAACTCCACAGTGAAACATCTCAAATTTGTTTGGTGAAAAATGCGTATTGTATTTTTGACGTATTTTTTAAAATATGACTTTTACTACATTAACGGGTGATACTCGCAACTCGTAAAACATTTGTTCCAAATACTCTTTGTAGCGCGATGCGTTACTGTGCCGCGCCAAGCTGCCATGAATTGACATCGTCAATTAAAATACTCCAGGATCGACCGTCGACGAGTCCAACGCGCCGCGCATCTTCTCGCAACCACAGATGTGGTTGCAGATCGGTATACCCAATGCAGATGCCAGATCGGCGAGATGCGAAAGATTGACATAATAGTGAATTTTTAAAAATGGTACACAGTGGCCCAGTAAGACACGCGCCGAGTTGGACTCGTCGACAAATATTTTACGAGTATCACCCGTTAAAAATCGTAGCGATGCACTATTTGCCAAATAGTCTATTTGCCATATATGGTCTGGGCTGCTACTAACAATTTTTTATTTTTTATCGCGATCGGTTATCGGCGATAATTTCTAACTGATGAACCAATAATAATAATATAATATTAAACTTTTTTTTTGCTAAAATTATTTCCAAAAAGTTTGAAATTCCGTAATAAATCATTGGTTAAATTTAGCGTTATTGGGCCTCTACAGTTAATTTGTCATACGTTGTATGACCCGCCGCGCACTGATACAATGATACATATGCCTCCTCTTGTCTGAAAGCTCCAAGGCTTATTTACGAAATGAAGGTTTATGCTGTCAAACTACTCTGACTGTTGCTCGTTCAAAATTTTTTACTGAAATAGTCAGTACAATTTCTTCATTTTTATGGTTTGTAGTTACATAACAAATACAAATAATGTTACATTTTCATCTGTAAAGTGCAAACTTAGATATTCATGATCTTATAAGTCGAAAATGTAAATTTTTTATTAATTACTAATTATTAATACAAAATTACTTCAGGCGATCTAATCAAATAGGGGTCGTTCACATATTACGTAATCAGCCGAGAGGGGAGGGGGGTTTACAAATGATTACGCTAGTCTAATTTTTACACAATAGCTATGTGTAAAACTGATTACGGAGGGGGGGTAAAAATTGTTCAAAAAGTGATTACGTAATATGTGAACGACCCCATACTTAATAAAATATCATCTCAGTCAAATTTTGTTCTCCATCAAAGACTCTTAAACTCACCTTCCTGTATGTGTTGATTTCCATATGCAAGGGAGGGGAGGGGGATAGCCTAACTGCATGGACATGGACATGGCATATTGTTGTATCACGTGGTGACCCCCACGATCGCTTCACTGTAGAGTTTCGACGATACAGGGGGAGCCGCGCACTCGTGCGCGGCGGGTCATACAACGTATGACAAGCATATTGGCATTGTGAGATACGCATCTTGATGTTAAGTGGGTGGTACTACTGTTATGATATAGTACCAACAGTAAGGGTCAGACCCTAAATGTGTGGTGCATGGATGGGTAAAAATTGCACAACATAACTTAGGTAATAAGCTGATCATGTGTTCCATGCATTTAGATTCTTCCCCTCCTCTCCTTCCCCGTACTGCTACAAGTCAAGTCTATAATCTTTGTTCGAGAACTTTGCTGCGGATTGGCAATTATTAACGACTAGACTGAATTGTTTCAACTCGGACAGTTGTCAATTATGCAATTTTGATGATTCAGTAAAAATAAATAACGCACTGAAATTAAATAAATTATGTAAAATATCAAATTAAAAGTCAGTACTCCCTGTACTCTAATCTACTGTCACTAGTTATAAACTTCGTCACATGGTTTAGAGTTTCCCTGATCTGAAGCTGAAAGCAAGAGGTTTTAAATGAAGATATTGATTATTCAGTTTGGTCATGGTTGTAGCGCGATGCGTTACTGTGCCGCGCTGCGCACTTAATAAGGCTTCTCACAGCTAGATCGGCGAGATGCGCTACTGTGCCGCGCCGAGCTGCCATGAATTGACATCGTCAATTAAGGTCATGGTTATAGCTTCAGTTAATGCCATAGTACAGATTATTAATTCCATAGTACAGAGAATTTCGAGACCCATTTTGCCATAATAACTAGATTACAGTATTTGAGGATAGTGTATTAGAAATAATACACATTACCCATTAAATTGTATGATCTGAAAAGAAGGTGGCTGAGGATGGAACTTAGATAAAATATGTAATATAAACCTTGAGGAACTCATTCAGTGCAAGAGATTGAGAAGGGTCCTTTGTGAACTGTAGCTGTCCTCTTTTATTTTTTATGTACTTTTCATTGCTCTGAAACTAAAACTTTGGTCAATATAATTAAACTACAGTAATACAGTATTATCAGCAGTAAAACGTTGTTAAACTAGCATGAGGATTTAGGTGATTATATTAATTACAATGTTATGTAAAATATGTAAGTGCTAATATCATTGACAATGATTGCAATTTGAGAAAAAATAAAATTACTATATAATTATATAGCCTATGGTGAAACTGAAGGGTTCATCGTTCATCACGTTGCTTTCTGTGTAGAAATTCCTGCTTCATTATTAAGTTATATAGATACCTGAATTAAAATGTTAACTACAGATTATCCTAGAAGCTTCCAAGGGAGATATTCAAAAGGTTAAGTGCGTTTAACAAAAGATATTGAGCACATACATAATATTTGTCTACATTAAAAGTGATATCTGAGTTAATGGTAGAGGTAGAGTAGGACCCAAAATTACTGTTAACCCTGGCCTGACTTATTTGTAGAAAAAACCTTAACCTGGTAACCTTGTTACCTGCACAGAGCAATTATACCTGCGCATTCATATTTTGAAGTATTGACCTTTCATCAATGTAATGAAACATTACAATAACGTTATCTAAATCTCAAAATCACCCGTGGCTGTTTACCCTGACGGTGTCCAAGATATCGGGCATCAGGAAACACTGAGACAATTTGGAGCTGATTATGACCAGGGTCCTCATGGATACCTAGCCTCAGAGGTCGAGCCAATGCTCTGCTTTCGAAAATTATGGAAAGCAGGGCATTCATATTTTCTCTACTAGCAGTCAATGAAAGGCCCCACAGCTCCTACAAGGACGCATGGACCCATGTGGGGATAAAAGTGACCGCAAGCACTTGACACCACTTTGTAATTATAATTTAGTCATTATAATTTATTAATGAAATCTCAGTTGACGGTGGTTGGATCGAGTACGAAGATTGGTCAGACTGTTCTGCTAAATGTGGGGAAGGTACCTAAACCAGAACCAGGAGATGTAACAAACCTGCTCCAGCTCACGGTGGGACAGACTTTTTATTGATGTAATGCAAGATCAAAGATTAGTAGTTATATTCACAAAATATGACTACAGGTTGGAAGGGCAAGAAACGCCAAATTTTCTTAAATGTTATATCTTTAGAATTCTTTTAAGAAACTATAAAAACAGTATCTGTTTATGGTTTATAATAATCAGTCACCTGGTTTTATAACTCTATAGTAGTTTGATGCAGTGTCTTGAGATGAGAACATTATCTTCTTTATGTTTCTGCTCCAGGTCTGGTTCCAGGCACTGTTACTACACGTTGAGTCTGAGATGAGGATGTTGAGCACCTCCTCTTCGTTACAGTGTATGACTAGTCTGATACCTGAGGTCCTGGTTAGGGTCATCCTCCAATCCTTGTCTTTAGCAGAGGGGAGGGTAGTTGGGAAGTTAGTGTAGCCGGAGCTGCTGCACCGGGAAATCCAGTACTGTGGACTAGAGGAGAATCTGATGGAGGCTCCTCCTACATAGTCCCCGGATGAAGTGTAGAACCACACAAGTACCGTATCTCTGCTCCCCAGAATACTATCCGTCTTTATTTCAAGAGGACACTTCTCTAGATCGAACACTATCCTGGAACTACGCTGCACTGGTATCCAGCCTAGTATAAATTCAGTGTCAATATCAATTTTACATCAGCCTCACAATAACAGTGAATGAATAAGTGCATGATATAAAATAAGTGCATGATATAAAATTGTTCTCCTAAAAAAAATCAGTGTTCTACTAACTCCTATATAACAGCTAATGTCGTTGAATTATATGATGTTATTGATTTGTAGTATTACCCTGCCTGAGCCATGATTTACAGCATCTTTCAGGGAATCAGTGCAATTAGTTTAGTAATCGTACCTAATAAGATTTCGGTCACTCTCAAAACAGTGCAATTAGTTTTGTAATCGCACCCCCTGAAAAAAAACCTACCAAAAACCAGTGCAATTATGGAATTAATAAGTGGCAGCCAAATAGGTCAAAAGTGGAGTTATATCAATAATTCAGTAACTCATAAAAATTGTACAAATATTTACCTTCACCGGCTGAAGCAGCAGTTATCTCCACTGCAAAGAGGAGAAGAAAGTAGAAAGATAACATTCTCCGACGATCCTGTCTTCTAGAGAAAGAAAATATTATACATTCTGCTTCTGTGGCCTGTGCAATGTCAACACTTTACAACTTACGAAATATTGAGTGATTGACCTGAACTAAACTTTTTGGGAATTTTATACTCTGTGCTAGCCGTTCTACGTTTTATCTCGTGAAATACTTTGACCAATCATAGCTATAGCGTCTTATTTCTTCTAGCGTCCTTGACTTAGCTAGCCAATGAGAATCCAATGAGTCACATCTGACATATCTAGCCACAGCTGGATGTGTTACTCCGCACATAAGCTATTTTGTAATTCCCAAACCTTTCATTGAACAGCTGCTGCTCTCTCAATCTTCTCATAATTTCAGAAATCTAAATAATTAGTACTATTCAAAATGCTCTGTCATGCACTTCAAAATTGTTCGCACAATCATGGTTGTTGTCTAATTGTTATAATTTGCCTATCGCGTAGGCTCTAGAATTAAATAGTATACCTTTTTTTTTCTTCATATCTGAAATTTTATTTTCTTCTATTTTCTTTCAGCTTTCTCATCTCTGCCTTTGTGCTTTTGGCAGATACTGTAAATTTATTAAAAAAGTTTCGATTTGAACTACCAGCTGAAAATCGTATCTTAGACACCTTTGCTCCTTCTAAATTTCCAATCTGTCATGTGAACAATCCCTCTAACTTTCATTAGAAATTTTACTCTTCCCGATACTTCGATCTGATGGTTAGAGTTCTGTGTACAATCTGGAATCCATCTGATGTTCATGGTACAGTAAAACCCCGATCTACCACGGGAAAGGAAACATCCTTGGTAAATTGGGTTCGCGATAGATTCAGGGTTGGCAGTAAATCATGGTTTTACTTTAGTTGGCCAATCATTCTTGAATTGAAAGTTAAGCTATCCAACACTAGTTCACTTGGTTAATCAAGGGTATTGGCACACTCTCATACAGGAGCAGGTTGGAAATAATTTTACTACGTTACATCAGCCGAAAGAATAATACGTGGAGAATTTATTTTGAATATACAGGGTGGCCCAAAAGTAACTGCCCGCACGCAACCCTTCAATAACTCGTAATAATAAATATAATCAATGCCCTGATTGGTTGGAGACTGCTTATAGGACAGCAACCGAAGCGCTATAACGCAAATTCCTTCGGTTTTAAGGACCGTCACTATCAGTATTCACTCAAAGTGATCAGATCGTCATCCACCAACATGCTCGTTACCGCCTAATGAGTCCCATTGTTGCTCGCTAGCGAATAGCTCCCGATGAGATGACTGATTGGGTGACGAAATCACTGATTAAGTGCCGGGATCACGTATCTGCAATATCCTAAAAGGGTAATAACTCGATTAAATTGTAAACAACCAACTTGACATTTTGGAAAAGCACTTCAATTATCAAACCAAACATGTCTAGAAACTTTGAACATCCTAGCTGAAAGCGTTCTTTCTTTATGGTGACAATAGCGAAAAAAAGGGATTGGCGTGCCACACCCACTGTAATTAATTAAATTTGACGAAACTTTCAGGAAATCTACGTTTGACCCATATCTATAAGCTCTGAAATTTCTGTGCAATTCTAAGAAGAATTACGTGAGTTATTAAACGGCCAGGTAGCGCAGTTGGTTAGAACGCCATCTTTGCAAATCCTGAGATTGCGAGTTCGAATTCAACTGTCTGCCTAGTCGTGGGGTGAGCATCGTCGACTAATGATTCTGAGTGGTCTATGCAGCCCCCCGGTCTACTCAGCTGAATACTCGAGAAATCGGGTGTGAGGTTTAAATGAGGAGCTGTAAATTGCAGCAAAGTCTCGGGCGAAGAAAGTATGGTACACACTACCTTAACCGTCACTGGCCAAATAAATCCTTCGGCTTCCTGTAATTGGCTGGTTGCACTTGTGTAACAATGTGGCTGTTGGAATACACCGAAGTAAAATAAGTGTCTTGATAAAAAAGGGTTGCATGTGGGCAGTTACTTTTGGGCCACCCTGTATTTATTATATATTTAAATTATACATTGATGATTGATGATTGATTTTCGTCGTACTATTTCGTCACATCTTCGGTTCCTGGAATGAAATAATTTTACCTGGGAACCCCAAGCTATACACACCAAACTCACTAATTTAATCGGTCAATAGTAATTTAGTCAAAACCGCGAAATTTCGGTCAAGGGGACGGCAGAAAAGCTCCTCTTCAAATAAGAGCTCACTAAACATAGGGTAATGGGAAAATGATACCCACTATTTAGTAGGGGTTCAAAACCCATTCCCAAAATTGAAATTTGAGGTAAAATGGGTTTTTGGGGTTGGACACCATGTACTAACTGTTTTTCTGGGAAATAAGCAGCATACCCCCCTCCCCGTTTCAGGCAATATATAAATGAATGCTTCTTTTAACATCAGTTATTAATTAATCAGCACAGGATAGAAGAATGTCATGAACAAAGAAGCTGTCCTCGCAAACAACTGCACATTTCTCCAGGTTAAAGGCTACTTTTATGAATTTATGTATTCGTTTGTTTTAATTTGCATTTTAACTTAAATGTAATCAAATATCAATAATTTAAAAATAAGTGTACCATTTAAACTATAGATTCATATTTTTGATTCAACTATTTTTTCATTAGTTTCAAATATCCTATGAGTATTGCTGAAAGCACAGTGTAAGGCCTACACGGACCGCCTCTATCTAGCCAATCCCTGTTTACATGCCGTGTAGCAGGGGACTAGAAAGAGCTAAACTAGTAAGCGGGGCGTAGCCAATACACTATACTCCCATCATTGAGTATATTACCAACCAGAAGGAAAATTTCCTTGTGTTTGGAATCTACCAAGACGAAAGTTGTACAATTCAGCGAAATTCCGAAGAATCATTCCAGTAGACTAGGCGCATTGCAACCACAGCCACGGAAATACTTATGAGTATTGCTGATATGATAATCTTTTTTATCTTTTCAGCAATACAATCACTCGATAGCTGACAAATTCCGATACCAGGTACTTTTTCAGGAGTTCTGGAATTTTCTTGTTAGAAAAAGAGAATTATTTCTACTGTATTACAAATTCATTTTCTAAAGCTGACTGATTATTAGAGTCTTGTTGTGCCTACATTTTGAATAGTCAGTCAGGACCTGTTTATTTTGATATATTTGGTTGCGTCATTACTAGCTAATTACTGGCTAATTACTGGCTGCGTAATCCTCTAAATTACTTGCAGGGCAACACGCAAGTAGAAGCAGCAGTAACAATACAGAGATTCTACAGGGCATACGTTGCTCGTAAAGTTTTCTCCAGACTTCTAGCTGAAGAACTTAACAAGGTGATTTATATAATGTGTTTTTCTGATTTCATTGGAAGACGAATCCTATGACGATCTAAAAGTTAAAACTTAATCTGTTGTTTAAAACTAAAATTTAAAAACTGTCGAATTTATTTGAGTGGGAGAGCTACGGGATTTGCTGTATGTGATTTAATTGTCAGCTTCCAAATCTGTTACATTTGCTGATGCTACTATTATAGATATGTAGCAACAATTATTGTATTCGAGAAGAAATCTCACAGTATCGCTAAATAAGATATCACAATATCCTTAGTACAAAAGAATACACAGATCAGCATTTCCTGCATTTCTGCACAGTTTTATTGGTCACTCGGAATTACAAAACAGTGTAGCGATGGAGATATTGTATCAGCTACTCTAGGGCACTGTTCCCGCAGACCTAAGCTTTCAGGATATAATTAATGATGAACAAAAAATACCCCGAAATTTGGTATAAAAATACAGACTACAGTAGTTACTCACTTTCATAGCTATTTCCACATTTCCGACTCATCTTGGCCATTCCCAACAAACAAATGTTTTTGTTACTCATTAAAAAGGAGTTTCATATATATACTGTTTTGTAGGAAGAAGAAGAGTTTTTCCAACGAGAATTAGAGCGAGCATCAGAGTCAACAGTATGGCTGCAAAGGTAAGCACCCCTCTAGTATCACATGCGTTATTTCTTAAATGATTTTATATAATTCGCAAATTGTGTGCTTTATTTTTTCACTATTTCATTTTGATATCGTATATAGTTTCTTTGGAACAGATGTTCTTCTTGGATGGCAACATCGAAATCTCTAAAGAAATCGGTTGGTATTTTAGTATGTGCTGTTTAGTGAGGGTGTGAAAGTCTAAAATTGTATATTTTGTAGTGCGATTGAGGAGATATTCATGCTTTTCTCGGCGATTCAATTGAATTTGTCCATATTTGGAAACCTCAGAAACTATTACTTGGCTGTTAATGTGCTAACTTACATTTGAAAAATGTTAGTTTTATTGCGTAAAATACATTGCTCTACATTTCTAGAGAGTACTGTTTCCGGGAACGATGGAGTGTGTTTGTTCAGGATCGAATATTATGAAAATATATATGGAATATAATTTGCGGTCTGATTGTATGTGTGTACGTGTGTGATTATAAGCGAACAGTGGGATCATAGCGGAATAACTAACATTTCATTATATATGTCTGATGGGCAGGCGGATTATCTGTAGTACTGTAAATATAACATTAACACACGATGTTTTCAATCCACTAATCAACGAGCAAGCTTTTGTGAGATTGCGTTTTTATTATATAATCAGATTGTGGGTCAAGATTGAACATTTATGATTGTTCTCTTACATATCGTTATATATAACTGTTTTCTTGTAGCCGATGGCAGAACCATGCAAACAGATTGATTCTAAAAATGACATCATCGGAGTGTACTTCCTGAGTGTACTTGAGAATTATGTTTTTTGTGGTAAACAATCTACTTCCTTTTTTCGAAGAAAATTATGTTCACGTGTGTTTGTGTGCATTTTGTGAGAGTTCTTCTCTATGTTTGATATAATGAGTGTGTGTACTGTAAAGGAATTTAGCTCTTAAATATCTGGGACGGAGTTTTTAATCGTGAGAAGTTCAGACACTAATAGCCCCCGAAAAAAAAGTAAATTTTAAAGGTTCAAGTTGTAACGCGCAGCTATAAAATTATGTAAAGAGTTGAAGTGTGCTCACAGTCACTGTAACTTAATTTGTATGCGCGTAGTCAAATGTTGTGCGCGCAAGGTCAGCATGTGATCATATCCTTGTTTAGAACAAGCCACTATTCATTGCCATTGATTGGCATTTTATGTTTATTTTTGATACATCTCAACTGTGTTTGAACGTTAAGCACGCAATATAAACACTAATTATTATCGTGGTGTCATTATTAATCTCATATCAGGTCCAAGTTGAAGCGGAAGTTGACTGAAAAGGAAACTGTAGATAAGAACATTGCAAGAAGAAGAGAACAAAGTGCTATATGGTAAGACGAACCAAAATTTATAATATTTGCTTGCAATCGTGTAGCAATTTATAAACCATCAATCATCTCTTGACATCTCATGTCATAATTCATTTTATGGGGGACGGGAAGCTTTATTCATAGTGTCATACTAACCAAGCCAATACGGTTAACGTAGGTTTGATAATTTGATTAAAGATGGTGACCCTGCTATAATGATAATACTTGATTTCAGTCTTAATACCCTAGCTTTAATAACCTAGCTGGCTTTGTCATGAAAATTATCAAGTTGGTGCCAGTAGACCGGCTTCAATTACCGGGTACCACGTTATCGCACCCGTTATCTTAAGTTTACTTTATCATATAATTCGTTTCATTATCATTGTGCTGTGGTACATGTTGCGGTTCGTTTCTTCCGTACTTTCTCTAACAGTCTTCAGATACGTCATTTTAATTGGGTTTACTAATTTTACTGAGACTATTTATTTATCCATAACTAAACATGTACCATGCATGCATGATCAATGCTTATTGATGTTTTATATAGATGGAGTTCGGCGGCTTTACTTGCGATGTATTTTGCCCACGTTTTTTGTCTTGAAATCCATACTCCAGCTTCTATCCAAACAATCTAAACCGGTAAATAATTTAAGAGTTTCCTCGTGTGATATTGCTCCGGTAGCCATTATTCTGGCCACGTAAATTGCTACCAATATCCCTGTGCTTATCAGATTAAAGGAACCTATATATATAGTGGCTAAGCACCGTTGCGGTTTTATCTCGTGAAATTCTAAGTATTGCCTAACTGCAATATCAGAGAAGGACCAAAATAGCTCTTAAGTCAGATCTCTTGCCTTAATGGCCCACATTTGTAATCTGAAATAACTGCCGGACCATAAAGTACCGATGACACCAATTCTTGTCAGACGACACGAAAGTGGCACTTAGAATATAGCTTATACGGTGCTTTTACAAAATTCATCATCCTTGGTGACTTAAGAATTCTGACCGTTAAAATAGCATTCATTCGATATCCAATATTATATCATCTTTAAATTTGGAATTTGGACTGCCTGCTTTAACTTAGATTACTTAAGTTGAGATAAATAGTCTCGTAAAAATCGTTTACAAATTCGCAATTTCGCTTAATGTTCCCGCATTAGTCTTTAATCGTCCCTTGCTAAAGTTTACATGGGCATTAGGCAGTTAGATTTACCACGGACCTTTATAAGTTTATTAAATCAAATAAAAATGTTGTCAATTTCAGAACCCCAAGTTAAATATAGAACATTTTTATTTTATTTTGTTTCGTCAACCCGAAGGACGAACCCTAAAACTTAAGGTTCCCGTGCTTCCCAGAGATGTATTACGTAGACGTTATGAGTGGTTAAAGAAAGGGTGTTTCCCGAAATAGCGAATTGACTCCTTTGTAGAAATGCAACTAGGTAACAATATAGGTTTATCAGTTACCACTGGGCGACAGCATTTTTGGCTCAAATACGAATTTGATGTATTACTTAGAAGCTATGAGTGGTTAAAGAAAGGTTGTTTCGCGAAATAGCGAATTGACTCCTTTGTGGTACTGTAACTAGGTAAAAATATAGGTTTATCACTGGGCGACAGCATTTTTGGCTCAAATACGAATTTATATCCAATGCTGAACGCATTAAAAAGTAGTCTCCGTGCGTCACAGTAAAGTTCGAATTTGCAAACAGGCGGATATTTTGCCGACAAAGTTACATATTTTAGTTGATCAAAAATGCTGATACGACAGATGATGTACTTAGCTAGTTAAAACCTTATATAAAGCACTGTGTGTGCCGCTTTAATTTTGTACCCTCGGACATAAACCTTTCACAGCAATGCTCGACGGGCTTATATTATTATTATCCATGGTACAGCAACACTGGAATATACAGGCCAATTAAATGATTATGTTTAACATTGGTTCGTCTGCTTGATAGGATCCGGATAATTTAAAGTACACTTTATTAAACTTGTAAGGATCAGCTAAGAAGCGAACGTTTTAGTCATTCATTGGTCATTTGAATCAGATTAAACCATGTAAATGGAGATTGGAATGGCGATTATCGTTGAACTTTTTTAATGATCAATGGAGGTATCAAATTCCAATTACCTTAATTTATTAATTGTTTATCTTGGCTGTATCATATGTGATATGATACTTGATCCGTCTGAAAGGCTGCTAACATTTCATCCTTTAAAAATTAAAGCTTTAAAATAAATGTTTACACACTGTAACTGTACTTTTTAACAGAGTACAAACACTTAACTTTTGACCATGCTGGTTGTTTTTGCAGCATTCAACTTGTTTAAATATTTGTATTCTATTTTTGTCCATTACAAGTCACGGTCACAACCCTATTGCTAATATCGTGTATTTATACCACCATGGTAATTAGGTATTATGACATAGTAATATTATTAATGTGCTCGACACAGTCAATAATCTAACCATACTGTTCCAATACATTGAACATGTGGCTTACATCAGTGTTATTATGACGTCATCAAAAGAGTATACTAGTATGACGTCATCGATGGGCCTTGTTGGTTGAACTACCCTTGACGTATCTGCCCCTCCAAACTCCCGTCTAATCAGAGGTCTGGATTCTCTCCACACGCCAATAAACAAGCCTTATTCGGTCACGTGGTTCGCTGAGGGTGTTGACAACCCTCGTCTTCACGCAGCTCCTTCTCCATTGGTCGGTATCTGGCGTTGTGATTCCTGATTGGTCCGTGGACTTAGCCTGAAATTTGAAGCACAAATATTCCCAAATATTTGCTTCTTGTTGGCACGTTTTATTGGGATTGAAATTACATTTTAATAACTGTTGTTCTAGGGCATCGTTCCAATATTATGAACCCTCCCAGATTTGACCGTATCGAGCTTTATACTATTTTAGCATATTTAGTATTTGATATTTGGTACTTACTTTATTTATCCAGTCGACGGGGTTATGTTGTTGGCTTGACCGCGAATTAGGAAACCCTCCCGCGACGCCACAAATTCCTAAATTCTAAGTCAGTCACTTCTATATCACTATTTTTAAGGTTCCAGGCTTCAAATATTTCACACTCCCCTTGTAACTCAAATCGTATGAATAATATGAATATATTACAATTTTTATTTTGCTATCATCTGCAGTTGCTGTTATCCATATCAGCATATGCTTCTTTAAATTGTTATTGATTTATTTGACGGACGTCATTCATTAACTGGACGCTATTCTGAATATTTAATTAATATTAGGGGATAATTAGTTAAAGTTACGCCTTACTACAAAATGTGTACTGTTGAAAAGCTCTGTATACGAATTGTATACCGAAAATAGAAGACATTTGGTCACATTCTAAAAAGCCAGCTATTAAATGAGACAGTTAGTATACCGAGGGACTAGGTTACCTCGACCGAATTTATTATATTTTAAGAACTGACTATTAGATCCTGTTTGTATTGGTAGTAATACTAATAACAATATTCTATTTTAAGAGCGATTTATCCGTATCTTTTCTATTCATCACAGCAACTCTTCCTCTTGTAAAATGATAATAGTATCACGTCAAACGTGTATTCGTCGTGCTATTTTTAGAGTTCGTATTCAAATCTTTAACGTTATTAATATAGATGTTGTCTCATAATTCAGTTGCCCGTTTTTATCAACGAGATTATGCGTCTAATTCCTAATATAATACGCTTGTCCCTTTTGCAAAGCCTTTTTACGTTAAAAATTATCAGACCCAAACCATAATTATTTTATTATCTCAAATTCCACATTATCTCAAATTCCCCATATTATTTAACCAATACCCCACACACATAACATATAACCTGGCAGGTGTCTGGTGTACCGTGTAAGCACCATTGTAAGGTACACCTACAGTAGTCCCAGCACACGTACCCACTTATATTACTAGAGAACACACACGCACGCAATCCAGGTTTAATACCATGATTGGGCTCGCTTTATAATATGTCTTAGGCTAGCGAGCACTATTGTACAGTAGTGCTCCTCTTGAGTGCTGCCAGACCGAGAGATCCTAATGGTTCGTTGTTCAAGTTCTCCTTTAATTTGATTGGATGTTGTCCAAGTTCTTCTATGATTTGATTGGCTGTCGTATGAGTGTTCGGTAGGTTTGATTGGCCGAATCTTGAGATACTGAACTGTTTCTTTCGGTGACTGACCATTAGGAACCCTAGGATTGCTTATCGGCGTTTCTTTGGTCGCTTACATCCCAACGAAACGGTCTGACTATAAAGTATAAAGTTCATTATTGACCGTTATATCATTTTATAAGTACTATATATATGTGCATAATGCATATGATAAGAAAAGTATGACCGAGTCTCTGGTTGTGACGCGTGATGGTTTAATGGACTGTATCCAATAAGTCCAATATAAGATTCTCTTACTGGTTGTCGGTTATCTTTCCTTCAGCTGTCTGACAACTCATCGGACACGGACAGCTGATAATATTGACGAAACTTTGGTTCGGGACAATTTTGATATTTTTGACAGATTTGCAGCAGGGTTGATAATCATGAATCTTTGGTCAAAGATGCATTTGAGACAATCAACACGCACTGTACCAAAAGTATTTAACAGCACTAGAGCAACTAAACTCGTGCTAGTCTGCCAATATCACACAACACTCAAAGATTTACCTTTTAGTGGATCAATTAGATAGTCGATAATGTCGGATATATATATTATATAATATTGCTCTATAATAATCTATATTTGCGATATGAATGGCGGAGTCCTTTCTATTATTGACCGCATGACTGGATTTTGTCTTAAACTAGAGGACCGCTATAAAATTGGACTCATATCCGGAACGGCGCAACCGTTGATTAACATCAACCCCGACCCGATTGTGATTAAATATCTATTTTTGGGCAGGTTAACGAACTTCTAAATTTAACCAACTTCTTGCCTTATTAAGTTGTGGAGCCTCTTAAATTTGGTAATTTGTTCCGTTGCAGGAGTAACTGCACT